CAGTGTGATGAAAGACATGGTACATCACCACAGTGTGATGTATAACATTGCACATCACCACAGTGTGATGTAAGACATGGCTCATCACCACAGTGTGATGTAAGACATGGCTCATCACCACAGTGTGATGTAAGACATTGCACATCACCTGAGTGTGATGTAAGACATGGCTCATCACCACAGTGTGATGTAAGACATAGCACATCACCACAGTGTGATGTAAGACATGGTACATCACCACAGTGTGATGAAAGACATGGTACATCACCACAGTGTGATGTAAGACATGGCTCATCACCACAGTGTGATGTAAGACATAGTACATCACCACAGTGTGACATAAGACATGGTACATCACCACAGTGTGATGTAAGACATTGCACATCACCACAGTGTGATGTAAGACATTGCACATCACCATAGTGTGATGTAAGACATGGCACATCACCACAGTGTGATACAAGACATGGTACATCACAGTGTGATGTAAGACATAGCACATCACCATAGTGTGATGTAAGACATGGCTCATCACCATAGTGTGATGTAAGACATTGCACATCACCACAGTGTGATGTAAGACATAGTACATCACCACAGTGTGATACAAGACATGGTACATCACAGTGTGATGTAAGACATTGCACATCACCACAGTGTGATGTAAGACATGGCTCATCACCACAGTGTGATGTAAGACATGGCTCATCACCACAGTGTGATGTAAGACATTGCACATCACCACTGTGTGATGTAAGACATAGCACATCACCACAGTGTGACATAAGACATGGTACATCACAGTGTGATGAAAGACATGGCTCATCTCCAGTGTTATATAAGACATGGTACATCACAGTGTGATGTAAGACATGGCTCATCACCACAGTGTGATGTAAGACATGGCTCATCACCACAGTGTGATGTAAGACATGGCTCATCACCACAGTGTGATGTAGGACATGGCTCATCACCACAGTGTGATGAAAGACATGGTACATCACCACAGTGTGATGAAAGACATGGCACATCACCACAGTGTGATATAAGACATGGCTCATCTCCACAGTGTTATATAAGCCATGGTACATCACAGTGTGATGTAAGACATGGCTCATCACCACAGTGTGATGAAAGACATGGTACATCACCACAGTGTGATGTAAGACATGGCTCATCACCACAGTGTGATACAAGACATGGTACAT